AATTTCTGGGGTTTCCTACCTTGTTTTACGATTTTAGTAAACGCATCTGTCACCTCTTTCCCCGTTTTCTTTTTAAGGGGTACTGCCCACGCATATTTAGAAAACGCATCAACCACGACCAAAATGTATCGGAAACCTTTATTTTCTTTGGCAATTATCTGTACTTCTATCAAATCGGATACCCACTGTTCGTCAATATCAAAGACTAACACAGGTGCAAACTCTCCTCGGCGGCGACGCGATTTGTGTAGAGTGTAAGCTAAATTCTTTTCCAATTAGCTAGCTGTCTCAGCGGTTCTACTGATGTCATCTCAGGGTTTGGGATATCTGAGGGACGCATCTCCTCTTGCTTCACAGGATTATCTTGGGCGTGGTACGCATCTACAATTTTCCTCCACCCTTCTTTCCACGCCTCTTCCTCTTCCTCTGTCCTCTATGAAGGGGTTGGGATGTCTAAGGTAAGATTTTTAGGATTTTTCTTCTTGGTCCAGTTTTTCTTGCCTTTAACCTCTTGGGCTACTTGAGGCACACCATCGATCATGACCTTTCCATCAGGGTACTTTTCGGTCCATTCTTTCTTAAAATGCAAAGGTTCTCCCTTGTCATAGGGGTGATGTCTCTTGCCTTTGACTCCTTTGGTTGGTTTCTTCATTAGAGTCTCCATCCTGCACATCAGAACTGCTGCTTCTTGACTGTGGAAAGTAGTGAAACCGTTCTAGCTTTATACACTCGAGAACAATACCCTATAGTTTGATTGACAGCCATTGTTTTACGCTAAAAAAAGAGACGCGACGCCAACCTTGATTGACAGCCATTGTTTTACAAGAGACGCGACGCTAGCAAAGAGACGCGACGCCAACTTTGATTGACAGTCATTGTTTTTTAGGATGAGACGCTAACTCTGATTGACAGCAATCGTTTTTTAGGACGCGACGCTATCTATTGTTTCCATTTTCCTATATATCGACTGGTACTGACATGACACATGTATCATTCACCATGAACCCTAGTTTAGAAACGAACCCTAAATTTGGTGTGATAGCCATGGATGAAATTTTAGATACCATGGAATTTCACTCTGACGACGATTCCTTGAGAAGAGTGATTCGAGATGCAGAGCAGTACTTAATCGACTTTGCACCCGATGAGAACGATTTCGATAGAAGAACCTGGGAATTACGTAGTTAAGTCATACAGGCATTCTTGAACTTTGTACGATATCACCGCGATTGTGCAATTTCCTCTTGTAAGAAACGCCTCCTATTCACAGATGATGAATCCACGCCAATCAAAAAGTGATTGACAGCTAGCTTCTATAAAACACTACTGATTCCTATACTTTTTCATCATTTGATACTGCACGCGAGTCAGAACGATGCCTTCCTCCATTCATACTCGTCCTTAAACTGCGGCAAGTGAAATCATTTGTTTGCTTTACGATTTGAGAGTAGAAGCTACTATAGTAGATTTAGACTACAACTTAAACACCATGAAAGACTTGGCTCTGATACGTGAAGCACCTACACCAGAAATAAAACAAGCTCAAACTGAAGTGTTTGACGCTTTCAGAAATTACCTTCGAGTACTTAAAGATTCAGCCAAACCTCTGGGAGTGACTAAAGACTTGGAAGAATATCCATCCAAGGCGTGTGTGGTACTTGACGAAGTCCTCTCTTGTGTAGACGAGCGAGCCAAACACACTGAATTGGAAATAATCAAATCTCGCATCCATCATTCCATGGTGTATGATTCTTACGGAATCAGTGATGACGAGAAACATTCAACAAAGTCTACAACGGCGTGATGACGGCTTTCCTGAACTTTGTACGTTATTGTGAAGACAAACCTCCCCTCCCCCCCGAGATTCCTCTGACTATAGTTCTGGGTACGGCAGTTATGATGACGAACAAGATCGATGATTGGCAGCTGTCAAGTTTATATTAAAAGACTTTACTCACACAATTTACCTCATTTCAGCACAGACCTTACTTCAACATGTTTGAACATTTGGACGACAACCCTAGACGGTGTAGAGTTGCTTTAGATGATTTACTACGCGTCGTAGAGAAAAATACAGACTATGATGACTACTGTCGAATGCAGAGGCATGGGAACCAGTACATACAAGCTCACGAACTTACACAAGTAAAACACGACGGTGATGAACAACTGTTTAAACTGTACGCAGATGTCATGAAAGCTTTCCTCACTTACACGCAACATTGTGAACAGCTGTACAGGAAAAAGTTGTGAGCAGCGACGACGATGAAGTGTTTGTGGATCCTAAAAAGACTGAAGACATTAAGGAAGACGAATGGCCTGAATCTTTTCCAAAACATTTAATTGCTATTATGAACTCTTAATTTGCACCTTGTATATAGCAAAACAATAAAACCTTGTTATCACCTATTCACATTTGTATGTATTTTCTTGCCCATGCGCAAGTTATAATCAAACTATACCACATGCGTACGAAAATCTTTTTGAGATTCTTCTAATACCTATTATTTGCTTAAAGACTTATTCAGTTACCAAAAACACCCAGCGATACACAAACGCATACTATAGCGTCCATTCACTTTTTCCTACTTAATCCCTCTGCCATCTTGCATTCTTTTGTTTTTGAGAAAACCATTAAGTCCTAAAAAACCTAAAACCAACACTAAAAACCTAACCCTAAACACTAACCCCCAACCCTACCCSTAATAACCCTAACCCTAATAACCCTGACCCTAATAACCCTAACCCTAGTAACCCTAACACTAATAATCCTAACCCAAGTAACCATAACCCTAGTAACCCTAACCCTAAAATAACCCTAACCCTAGTAGCCCTAACCCTAATAACCCAAACCCTAGTAACCCTAACACTAGTAGCCCTAACCCTACTAACCCTAACCCTAGTAACCCTAACCCTAGTACCCCTAACACTAATAACCCTAACCCTACTAACCCTAACCCTAGTAGCCCTAACCCTAATAACCCTAACCCTAGTAACCCTAACCCTAGTAGTACTAACCCTAACCCTAGTAACCCTAACCCTAGTAGCCCTAACCCTAGTAACCCTAACCCTACTAACCCTAACCCTAGTAACCCTAACCCTAGTAGCCCTAACCCTAATAACCCTAACCCTAGTAACCCTAACCCTGGTAGCCCTAACCCTACTAACCCTAACCTTAGTAACCCTAACCCTAGTATTCTAACCCCACTAACGCTAACCCTAGTAAACCTAACCCAAGTAGCCCTAGCGCTATTAACCCTAACCCTAGCAGCCCTAACCCTACTAACCCTAACCCTAGTAACCCTAACCCTAGTAGCCCTAACCCTAATAACCCTAACCCTTGTAACCCTAACCCTAGTAGCCCTAACCCCACTAACCCTAACCTTAGTAACCCTAACCCTAATATTCTAACCCCTCTAACGCTAACCC